ATTGCACTTCAGTCAGGCATCGAAGCAGGTGACCTCCAAAAGCGTGTTGTCGTTTTTACTCAAACATACATGTTCTTAACGTAATCTTACGTACCTTATTAAGAACATGTTATACCAGAAGATTGTAAAGTAAATGTATATACATGTAGATTTTAAAATTTTAAACCCGCAGACCTTACATCCGTATATTGGTTGTTAACATAATTGTCACTGTTTTCATAACCTCATTTATGAATCAGAAGATCACTATTCCTATAAACTTGCATTATTTGTAAAAAAAAAATGTTCATATAATGGCTATACACGTAATAGAATAAATGGAGTTAATATACAAGTAAAGTACATGATTTTACATTTCAGACATTAAACTTGTCTACATCCAGATACCGGCTGTCAGAATTGCATTTAACAATGCACTTTTCTAGGGATACACCATTCAGTTTACAGTCTAACCCGGTAGGCTATACACTATATATGATCTTATAAGGGTATAAAAAGGTGAACCTCCATATATTGGTTGTCGACATTGATATATACTCTATCAGATTATGGGCGAACTGTTTTTCAGGTATAATAATTACAGGTAACATGCGTTAGGGGTGTAATTGATTACCTACAATTACTTATTATTGGTGATACATTCGGAAGCATGTACATCTCAAGTTCAGATTGCACTTTATTCAGGTGCTGGGACAGGTGACCTCCATACACGGGTTGTCGTCTTTATTTTACCAAAGACAAACTATTAATTGGTGTAATTGGTTGAACCCTTTAAAAAAATGGTTTGCCTTCACCTCAAATGTCGACAACTTAATAATAGTCATATAATAATGTGTCGCTCTCGGATGACGCTGGAAGAGCCTAGGTTGACCCAGGCAGAGCCCAGGACGATCCAGGCAAAGCCCCCGTAGAATCCTAGTGGATTGAAAACGCGCGAACATGATTACATTGATACATATTTCTTATTTAATATAAAGAACAGTAATGCATGATTTTCTGAAAAATCCTTACGCAAGACTGGACAGAATGGAAATGGGAAGGGTATACAAACAAGTGCAATCATCGCAAATTGCCGTGGTTATTTTGGAATTCTCTATATTGGTTGTCGTCATTGATATAGTGCTCTATCAGATTATGGGCGAACTGTTTTTCATGTTTAATAATTACAGGTAACATTCGTTAGGGGTGTAATTGATTACCTACAATTACTTATTCATGGTGAAACATTCGGAAGCATGTACATCTCAAGTTTAGATTGCACTTTATTCAGGTACTGGGGCAGGTGACCTCCATACGCGGGTTGTCGTCTTTATTTTACCAAAGACAAACTATTTATTGGTGTAATTGGTTGAACTCTTTAAAAAATTGGTTTGCCTTCACCTCAAATGTCGACAATTTATGTAAATTCACTTAATAATAGTCATATCATAATGTGTACGTCGCTCCCGGATGACGCTGGAAGAACCTATAGGTTGGCCCAGGCAGAGCCCCGGTCGATCCAGGCAGAGCCCCCGTAGAATCCAAGTGGATTGAAAACGCGCGAACATGATTTAATGTTTACATTGATACATAATTTTATTTAATATAAAGAACAGTAATGCATGATGATTTTCTGAAAAACACTTACGCAAGACTGGATAGAATGGAAATGGGAAGAGTATACAAACAAGTGCAATCATTGCAAATTGTCGTGGTTCTTTTGGAATGAACCGGGCTTTATATGGCTCTACCGGGATCAACCTTAGCTCCATCGTCATCCTCCGGGGCTCTGCCTGCATTCTCCGAGGCTCTGCTGGCATTCTCCGGGGCTCTGTCAGCATTCACAAGGGCTCTGTCGTAGCTCTACCGGCTATATCATACCCCGGATCATACCCGGTTTGTGCCGACAGAGCTACGGTGCTTCCCCGGTGTAACCCCGGTCGTTCCCGGCAGAGCTAAGGATGAAGCCGGCAAAGCTATACTCCCCGGGTTATCCCGGACCACCCCGGTGATATTCAATATATTTTTTGTATTTCCGGGGTCGAATGCCAGATGTTTCAGGATCATCCCGGACTTTGCTGGCAGAGTTACGGTGTACTGCAGCCGTTCCCAGATCCCCTGGACGTCTACCGGGGCTCTGCCGGGATGTAAGTGAGACTGTACGTAGCTTAAATTATGTATTGCACTTCAGTCAGGCATCGAAGCAGGTGACCTTCAAAAGCGTGTTGTCGTTTTACCCAAACATACATGTTCTTAACGTAATCTTACCTTATTAAGTACATGTTATACCAGAAGATTGTAAAGTAAATGTATATACATGTAGATTTTAAAATTTTAAACCCGCAGACATTACATCCGTATATTGGTTGTTAACTTGTTAACATAATTGTCACTGTTTTCAGAACCTCATTTATGAATCAAAACATCACTATTCCTAAACTTGCATCATTTGTAAAAAAAGAAGGTTCATATAATGGCTATACACGTAATAGAATAAATGGTCTTAATATACAAGTAAAGTACATGATTTTACATTCAGACAATAAACATGTCTATGTACATCCAGATACTGGTTGTCAGAATTGCATTTAACAATGCACTTTTCTAGGGATACATCATTCAGTTTACAGTCTAACCCGGTAGGCTATACACTATATATGATCTTATAAGGGTATAAAAAGGTGAACCTCCATATATTGGTTGTCGACATTGATATATATTCTATCAGATTATGGGCGAACTGTTTTTTGCATGTTTAATAATTACAGGTAACATGCGTTAGGGGTGTAATTGATTACCTACAATTACTTATTCATGGTGAAACATTCGGAAGCATGTACATCTCAAGTTTAGATTGCACTTTATTCAGGTGCTGGGGCAGGTGACCTCCATACACGGGTTGTCCACTTTATTTTAACCAAGACAAACTATTTATTGGTGTAATTGGTTGAACTTTTAAAAAAAAATGGTTTGCCTTCACCTCAAATGTCGACAATTTATATAAATTCACTTAATAATAGTCATATCATAATGTGTTTTGTAAGTGCATAAATATACAAAGCAACTATAATAAAAGTATACAATTTCACAATTATTAGCGTTATTATATAGAGACACGCACATATTGTTTCGTGATGCTATAAGTTGCTTCTGCTTATAGTACATCCCAGGTTGCTTTGACTGATTTATTTTGATTCAATTCAACGTAGATCTAATTAATTTTCTTTTTTTTAAATAAAAACTGATGGAGAATTAAAAGTACATTTCGCATATTTACGTCCCTTTCCATTCTCTATAGAAGCTTTCACTCAGACGCTCTTTAACGTTCGCGCTTAAAAAAACGCTTATAATAGTAAACTCCGCCTTACTCCAGGAAAGGGATGTCCGATAGCCTCCACCTTCGGGATCATTGATGCCAACACTAAGTGTTGAGAATTGAGTACCGCTCAAGCCGGTGCTAGGGGGCGTGAGGGATGTTGCACGTATTCATTATCCCTCATGTACAGACTCAATAAAACCGAGTCTGCAATTCTCTTGTAATGTTGTTGTGATTAATGCTTCCGAGGGATCACTTTGTTTCCAGAAAGTTTCAGTCTAGACGGTAGGTCTTTGATGAAGGTCAGGAAGAGCAGTGTACCTACGACGCTGCCCTGGGGCACTCCGGAGGTTACAAGGGATATGTGGGAGTGTACCCTTCCAGGACCACGCGCTGTGTTCTAGATAAGAGGAATCTTTGGACCCATTTCAGAGCTTTGCCTCTGACCCCATAATTGTCTAGAGTCATCAGCACGTGTGTGTGAGACCTTGTCGAATGCTTTGTTGAATTAAACAAAATAGCGTCGATTTGCTCATTCTTGTCAAATCCTTGCAAAATTGTTCACAGTGGTGAGTAGCTGTGATTCACAGGATCCGTCGGAAGCCATGCTGGAAGTCAGACAGTATGTTTTTGTGTTCGAAATGAGCCATGATGTTACTAAAAATTATATAATCGAGGATCTTACAATTGATTGATGTGAGAGTTATAGGTCTGTAGTTGGATGGTGAAGATCGGTTTCCTTTATTGAAGATTTGGGAGACATCAGTTGTTTTCAAGTCAGCTGGGAGTGTACCACTGTCTAGAGAAAGCTGGTTGATTTTGGTCATGCCTGGGGCCAGTTCATTGGCGCAGAGTTTGGGGAGCCTAGTGGGAACCTTATCTGGGCCTGCAGCTTTGTGTGGTTTAGGTCCACGAAGAAGCTTGTAACATTAATGTGGCTCATATCTGGAATATGGCGTTTTGTAGTTGTGTCGGATTTGAGTAATCATCTTTAGTGAACACAGAGGTGAACTAGTCATTAAGTATGTCAGCTTTCTGTTTACACTGAAGGTTATCCCGTCTTTCTTCAAGGGTGCTACTCCAAGGTTTTCTTTCGTCCTGGATTTGATGTACTGCCTTTGGTGTTTTCATAGTTCTTACTGAGGCAGCATGGTGGTCATGTGCACGTCTCTGGGTGTTTGATCGCCTGGCACGCTTAAACACGCGTTTCTTCTGTCGTGTGATACGTGTCGACAAAGACTGCATGATGATCGCTGATGCCGGAAATGGAGTCATTGGTTGACAGGATATGATAGGTTGGAGAACTGGTCAAGGATGTTGTTGCCCCTGGTGTCGAAATAGATCATCTGGGTTAAGCCAAGGTCCGGTTCCATATACAGAAAGGTCTCATTGTTTGACTTTTTATATTGATGACCTTGTATAGTGTTATTGGTACATTTTATATCTGGCAGGTTGAAGTCTCCAGTGATCCAGATAGCAGATTGTTCGTACATTTTACAAACTTTTGATATGGTGTCAGATATGGTGTCTACTTCAATTCGTTCTTGTTTGATTGTATTTTTCATCAGGATTATGCGACATCCATACCAATCATGTCTGTCTTTACGGTATATATATTTATTTGAACATTTCAAAAATAAAACATAATTAACAGGACTGTTGATAAAGTGTCCATTATTAGAATTACAAAACAGAATGGAAGATAGACGAGTGACAAATTTATTTGCTTGTTCTCTGGCATTTTCAAATACATGTACATGTATTCAGTTTAATTAGAAATTAATACAACGGTGATTAGATTTACTTAAGATTTTAAGAAGTTTTAAGCGTTAAACCATGAATAATACACGTTGTATGATCTTAGAATATTGTAACAGAAATATGTCAAGCGAAAAAAATATGGAATCACCGACCTGATTGTTGAGTTATTTGCCCTTTAATTATATAAATATTCTTATTTCAATGCCAGATTATGAACAACTAAGGTACAAAAGCCTTATATTTTGCGATTTTCGTGTAGCAAAATTTCTTTCCAAAACGTGTGCAAATTTTCAAGAATTGGTAATGACTAGTTTATTTATTTTTAAAGTTCTATTTACCTTCACTTATGCGAATTCTTTATAATGATTTTGAGTTAAGAAAGAATACAAAACTTTGGCGGAATAACATAAAAGTGGATAAAATCTAAAAAAAAAATGAATAAAAAACAAGGAAAAAACAATACATGTAGTTAAAATAAGGTTTGCCTCCTGACTTATGTATAAGTTATTAACCATGGAAATTGTCTGAGAAAAAAAGCAAATGGAATTCAAGGTCATCTCAAAAACTACGGCAGTGACCCAAATTTCTTTTCATTAAATGTCTCTGTTATTAAAATATGCTGAAGTGTAAGTCTGCAATATAATCTTAAATCTGCTATATAATTATATGTAGCCTCAGCATACAATAAGTCAACTATATTACTATGTTTTTAAGACGCAGGAATTATTTAATGAATTATTAAAAATGAATCTGACATTAGTTATTATTTTCTAAAACGTCATTAGTAAAATTACATACCTTTTATGTCCATAAGCAAAATTAATAAGTACTGGGTAAAACAATAGATTCAGTAAAAAGATTCATTTAACAACAAAATAAAAGATTGTACCTCATTTGCATACGCGCTTCTATATTTATATGACGTCATCCAGTCCATATAAGAATCATGGACCGGCCCCGGTCTTTATGCGGTTTCTGGACCTGATGACGTCATATTAAACAGAGAAGGTTTTATGCAAATGAGGTATAATATAAAATGAAATCATATGACCAAAAATTGAAAAGCGATGTAACGCTTTACATATAAAGCGGGCACAGAATAGCGCAGAATAATAATTTTCAATGTGATAAAGAGCATATTACCTAATTATCCCTAGCAGATTGTTCCATTTTAAGTGTTTCACTTGATCCATTTAAGAATTTTAAATGTTATGGTTTTTGGACTTAAATAAAGCTTCTTAAATGTGTATCTTATCTCATTGATGTTTCTTTCTTTCAAATCAAAACAAAATCTCTGGCAAGTTTTACATATAAATGTTAAAAACAAACCTAAGATTACAGTGAAATACGATTCCTCAACATTGATCAAGATTAGGATGAAACAATATTTTTATCACTGTCTATTTATTCATTTCAATTAAAATAGGTATAAACGTTTAAGTAAGATTGGCTATATACTTGTATTGTGTCAAAAAAATCTAAGAAATAAAGTCAGGCACTTCCATTTCGTTGAATGTTGTAACGCTCTCTATTCAATCATAGAACATGCCAACGTTTGTGTAAACACCGAAGTATTTATCCACATCACATCCTATATCAGCATGTATGCACTATTCAAGGTCAATAATCATTGATAAAGTCTGGCACCTCCTCTTCGTTAAATTTTGTAACGCTCTCTATCCAATCATAGAACATGCCAACGTTTGTGTAAACACCGTAATGATTATCCACATCACATTTCCCAAAGGCCCAAGAAACGACTCCAGTGAGAACCCATTTTGTTTCTGTTGCCATGATTAAGCCGCCTCCACTGTCCCCTTGGCAACTGTCCCCAGTTCCACCAATCTTTAATTATGCAGAAAAATAAATACTGGTAAATATAAATATTTTAAGTGAACCACAGGCATATGAATGACAACAATATATATTGATTAAATTTACTCAAATTGTGCTAACATTGAAAGTTTTTATAATTTTTAGCATATTTGTGTTTTGAAGCGTAATGTATTGTTTGCTTTTTAAATTAATTTAAAGCAAACAGAATCACCAAATTATGTTTAAACAAATTGCATTACAAGAATAAGCCAAGGAAGTTACAAGAACAAACACAGACTATAGTTAAAGTATGAAACAAATGTAGGTCTTTGACTTGATGGGTGTTGTTTCGTTCCCATAGATCTCTGCGATATTGAGTGTTAAGTCGTTAGGCGACCTCCAATCTTTGCACCGAAAACTGCTAGGAGTGTTTATTTCTCTAGGGCATTAATAGAATATCTGATTGAAAATTCAGTTAGAAGAAATGAATGTGTCTCTTTTAAAAAGAGGGTGTATTATGATACATTAATGAATGTTTGCCATGACAACTAAACTTTGGTTAAACATTGAAAAACATTAACGTCATTGTGCTTATTTTTATACGTTTTGAAACGGAACAGAAAATATCGACAAATATTTGTTCATATACCAGATAATATCAATATTTTAATGTTTGTGCGTGTTTTCTTTTTATCCGAAATGTTTATGAGTGATTTGAAAAATGAATATAATTAATGTTAAACATTACTAGGCAATCAGATTAAAACAGTACGTGTCCTATACACACTTTACCCTGTTCCATCTATTGTCTTATAACTCCCATTATATTTCGAAGCAAATATGTAGCACTCAACGCTAGAGCATGTTCGATGTAATGAAACCAATTCTTGCGAAATATATAATACTTACATTACTCCCAGCACAAAACATTGTTTCAGTTAGGTTATTGCGTCCGTTGCCCATTGATTCAAGACATGTTTCTCTGTCTACATACGGAATATATACATCCTATAATATGAAATAGGTTAATGTTATAAAATGCATTTAACTAAAAAATATGAAAAACAAGATCAACAAAGAAGGGCGACTTTAATAACGAAACCCCTAGCCAAACTTTTTTTCATGAGTCATTGTGAGTTATTTATAAATGCTTTTAAACTAAAATTTGGGGAAAAAAAGATTTTTTCTTTAAAAAAAATTTTTTAAAATAAATTTTTCAAAATAAAAGAAATTTTTCCCAATCATCATTTAACTTATTACTTTGTAATCGTTGATATTTTTAAAATTACATTTAGACATTGGAACATACAATTTAAAATTGTGTGTTTCTATGATAGTTAATATTTTCATGTTCGTTTCTGTTTAATGGCAGGAACGGGTTTGGTTAAGGTATGAATGCATTGTAATTAACACTATAAATGTTGGTTGCTGAGTTTCGGTACCTGATGGATGTAATCCGATCATTAACCATTTAACCAATTAATCCGTAAATATTTATTTTGCAATTGTTTTTGACATGTGAGGTACATGCATTGTTGTCATTGACATACAGAGTTGTTGCAATTTCTATACATTGTATCATAGTTTGGAGACCTTTCTGTTGAAAATGTGTCAGGGTTAAATCGTATACATAAACATGCACAGTGCGTTAACTGGAGTGCCGGTATTAGTTACCCGCACTATAGAACATGCCCATTGATTGGCTCATTTTTGATGGGGTTTACATATTGTGACGACAGAGAAAGGGAAAGCGACAGAAATGTCATATTCAGATGTTCGTTCATTGGTTCATTTTTGCCAGGGTTTCATATTGTGACAACAGGGAACGTGCTTTTATGTTTGACTGTGATACAAAAGAGAAAGAACACCAAAACACTCGGCAATCTGATTAATACTCGGGGGCTACGCCCCCTCATACAAATCAGATAGCCTCGTGTTTCGGTGCTCTTTCTATTACTATACGCACTCCCACCTGAATATCTTACGTTAGTCTGTTTATCACTTACCCACACCACCTTTTTGTAAAATTAATATGATAAGAGCCTGTATAAGGTATACATTAATGAGCATTTTACATAAAAGAAATTACTGTGACGTTATTTTTATTTGTATAATGTTAATTCAATGTTATACTATTATATTGAGTAAGTAAAACGTAATGTTTTTTACATACAGCTAGATTTGTTGAAACTATAAAAATGTATAACATTTACAAAGAATGTACTTTTTTGTACTCCTGATCAAGTGTTCACTTAAATCTTGGAATATTTGTTTTTCATAACTTATTCTGTGATCAAAAACGTCTTTATATTTAATAAACGAACAAAGAAACAATCGTAACGATTAAAGTGTTCACATTTATATAAAACTGGTCTTTCAAATGATTGTAAGGATAACTAAATACCTATTTTTCGACTTATACACCTTATAAACTTTTTTAATACATTTATAAAATCTAGTTAAGTATCACTTACACGCGTTCGACAAAAAGGGCACAAATCAAATTGATCTTTAAATCCTAATATTTTATCTTTTAAAAACTACC